TTGATAAAGAATTCTATAACACGCTGTGTTTCTATGACATATTGTGCCCTATGTATCTGAGATATACGTTCTGCGTTCCCAAAGGAAAATACCATCAGTCTTCACCATCAACGCAGAACAGCACTCTTATATGATGGTCCAAAATTTTTCAAGATGTACGAAGGATTCATTTATATTTTTGACTGTTAACGTCTTGAAACTTTTTATCACTTTCATAGTGTATTTCATTTAACAGTTATTGCTCAATTAAATATTCATTTGACAAAGACAATGAATGAGATTCAGTCAGCTCATTAACATTTTCAATGCTGATGGCCAAGTTTAGTTCATTCATCAGGCTAACTATTTCATCTGTGATAGTTTCCGGAGTTTCTTCAGAACTTATAAAATCACTCATCATTTGCGGGCATAATTTTTTCTAAGAACCTTTCATAGTTGATTATTTTATTTCAGCCCACAAGTCTCTGTTATTGTTGATTGCGTTCCATATATTAAGTTCATCCAAAAGTCTTCTGCCCATCTTCCTTGCCAGTTGTCTTGATGGCCTGAATCATTATTTTAGATCATTAAACGAATCTATCACTGTTTGATCCATGGACTGTATGAGACAGGTCATATTGGAAGGAAGAAACAAAACACTGGTTTCCGGGTATAAATTCTAAAATTTTGGGTGTCCTGGAGCTTTGTCTAAGATTAATAATGCTTTAAGTTGTAAATTTTTATCTTTACATTATTGCTTAGCTACCAGCACGAAATGAAATGTGAACCAATCTTTAAATATTAACGCAATAACTCAGACTTTCTTATTTGACTGGAAGCAATTCTTTAGTCTTCCCTTTCAATGTTCTGGCGTATTATGCTTTATAAACTAACACTGGCTTCAGTTTTGAATTACCAGGCTCTTTTCACTAAGAAGCAGTGTCAGTTGGGTTTTAGAAGGTGTATGTCCTAGGATAATTGACGTTTCGTTCAATAAGAATGCATAATTAGGCATTTTTTAAATCCGAAACAAACCCGTCTCACTCACATTGAATATATAGCTAAGAGAAAATTCTCCCTCTACAATAATTATGGACAACAGAAAATGAATTCTTTTGCAGCATTTTTATCTGCATCAGCCGATTCTATAGAGAATTCAATATTACGTAAAGAATACCTCAATTTAAATTTGGCGAATCAACCATTACTTACTTAAAATACGGCGTTAGAATCCGCTTTTAATCTCGTCGTCCAATAATCATGCAAACTAACAGCCTTATCTTGAACAACTGAAAAGTTCAGAGAAACACAATACTGATTTCCGGGTATAAATTTCTGCTGAGATTTGGGGTATCTTTGATCATTGTCTAAGATTAATAATGCTTTAAACTGTAAATCTTTATTATATTATATTGCTTTCTGAAAACGAAATGAAAAGGAGACCAATCTTTAAATTCTGTTACGTATTTTGTATTTATTTATCTGTTATTAGTGGAATTATAATTGAAATTGTTTTGTTTCTCCGTGCAATGCAGCGCGTGATGAGTTTTAAGAGAAAGCTATTCGGAAAAGTAAAAATACAGGAGCACAAGCATTATAATAAATAGATATCTCGTAATTTATATTTAAATTGAATAAATACAATTGTGTGTTAACTGAAACTGTAATTCTACTCTTTTGCTTTCCTGAAACCTCAAGAAAATAAAAATTACCAGAATGTTCTCGCGCATGATTAAAAATCTTTAAAAAGCTGAAGGAAAACATCTCAGTTCAGTTGTTTGCTTAGTGCTGTTATTGATTGTACCGAATTCGCCGTGAGATCGGATTAGCTTTCTCTGTACTTTGCACGTCTGTACTTTAAGCACGTGCTTAGGTCATCATGGATAAAGGGCACCAAAAAAGGTCCTTAGAACTCATGGAAAGGGGCCACCACAATGGAATGTATGACATGTTTTACTATGTATGTATGGTGCAGCTAAACCAAGACCGAGACAGAAGAAATTGGGAAGAAACAGGTATTATATTGTAAGTGCATTATGTGAGGGACACAATAATCTCTCAAGTGCTTAGGATCTTTAAAGGTCTTAATCCATCCCTGGCCGTGTCTTTTGGAAATAATCGTTGAAGACATATTTTTGCAATTTTGAACGTATGCCTTAATTTTATTCTTGTTTTTCAAAATTGAACAATTGCTGCGTGCGTACGGGTTCGTAATAGATTGAATGCACAATTCCGATAATAGGTTAACAAAATTTATTTTATCAAAAGAAATATTTCTGAACTCTGGAATTTTCCATAGAAATATTCGTACAGGTGTCACACTATCACACAGTACAATCAGTAGTTACGCTTCAAACTACTAAAAATGTTAAACGCATGGAATGCAAAGCGCATCTAAAGAGAAAACTTACTTGGATATCTCAAACAATTCGCAACAACAATAACTAAGCAACTGAGAGCAGATGCTCTCTCTTCGGCCTTAAATAATTTTCAAGCGGCAGCGAGATATTTATAGCTTTTCAGAACTTTCTGCTTCTCGAAATTATTGGAAAGCAATACGAGGGTGGAATTACGGTTACAGCAAACGTAGTGGTCAATTACATTTATTCAATTTCAATACATATTACGGTGATACATTGATCGGACCAAAATGTCGCCGAAGGTTAACAAATTTGGCGACTTTTAGCGATTTCGTGCCAAATTACCGAGATACCCATTTACTCAATGTTAAATGCCCTTGACCCTGTAATTTTATTTTTCCGGCATCGCTTTCTCTTAAAATTTGCCCCACGCTACATTACACAGAAAAATACAAAAATTTTACTTAAAATTCTACTAAAATTACCCATCTAGCTACAAAAATGCGTAACAATATCGTAGACCTGTTTATGTCGTAGTAATGGCCAACCGAAGCAAAACATTCACCACTTTCAGAATGACTAATTATTTCTATTTTTGGCTCGATCGTATAAAATTTATGAGTCCTTAAATTTTTTTGTTCGTATCAGCACAGCAAGTTTTTCTGTTTTTTTTAAATTTATTTTATTTTATTTTATTTATTTATTTATTTATTATTTTTTTGCTAATGTTTATAAATTTACTATAAGGGCTAAATATTTAAACATAAACAAGTAAATTTGCAAAACGTACAACGAATCGATACATGCCCTAACACAGGATTAAATCTGTTTAATACTTTGTATATATTCGGCCCCCGCCACCGCAGCTCGGAACCCGTCGACCTTATAAGAAATTTTCTTTATAATAAGGTCCATGTCGGAACCATAGTGGCGTAACAATGATTCCAAGAAGTCCACTAATCTAAGAGTCAGTGTGTGAGTGAGTACGAGATACGACGCTCCGTGGGAGAGACTGTATGAAAGCTAACAATTTTTGTAATATCGACAAAAATCCCTTGACTTTTTAAAATATGCAAAATAGAGGATTGTGCGAAAGTAGAAGGTGCAAAAGTCGAAGGGCTTTTTATTTGCTTCTTTAAGCAAATTGTATTTGCATTCAAATGAATTTTTGAAAATGTTAAGTTCTTGAACAATAGTATAATTTAGGTCAAAGAAAATAAAATGTATCGTTAATTGTTATCAAACCAGACGCATGATACGCATTTGGTACTCATGAAAATAATCTTTTATTTCCGATTTTCTTTTGCTGCATTCTATGAGCAGATTCTTTTCTTCCCCCCCCCCTCATTTCCTCAAAATTACCCTTTTTAGAATACGGACTTATTCTTAGGAATTCTATATGTGTCTATGTGTCTCTTGGATATTCCACACTAAACTTTTTTGTGGATATGAAGCGTCAGAGGCGCGATGCTTTCTTGCTCAAATAGCATTCAAGATATTGTGGAGCGTTTAAGTGGCTTGCCTGTGGCCACTTCTGTTAATGACAAACTAATTTTTCCAGTTACCCCGGGGTAACGGCATTTCGCTTTCACTGAGTATTCGTACTCAATAATGTTTTCGTCCATTGTTAAGACAAAAGAGCACTCAGATCCAGGACCGGATTAATATTATTAGAGGTGCTAAGCACTTAAAAGATTTTAGTGCTCCCAACATACGTTTATGTCAGGTTTTTCTTCATTCCTTTTCTTTGTCCGTTTTGGTTTATCTGCACCATGCATTCCACCGTAAAACGTCAATGGGAAATCTTTTCGTGCCCCTTTTCCTGAATACCTAAGGATTTTTCTGTGTTGCCCCCTTTTCTTGATGCCCTAAATACATGCTTACATTGCTTAATGGTTAATCCAGCTCTGCTCAAGCCGCTTATTAAGAGAAAGGCATTGTAGAGTCTAGTTCTTTTTGGGAGCATAAAATGTAGACCCTATTGAAGACGATGTAACGAATTTTCGCTATGTTTTAAAAAAACAGACGACTGCCGATAAAGGTTATAACAACATTTTAAATTTAACTAAATAGAACATGCATTCACTCAGTGCTCACAATTTAACCGCCACTTTTGGCTAAGTAACTTAACACAGAATATACAGTCAGAATAAATTAAATTTTAACTACACAGCTTTTTCTCCAATCTAAATCCGCTTTATCGGCTGCACAAAGCAAAGCCGAGTCCAGAATATCAATATAAATTAAAGTACATGGCTATCACAAAATATTCAGCCACAGAGCTACTTGCAGATACGCAGCATAAACTCGTAACTATTCTTCCCCGAACTCTTAAATTCTGCTACTTCAATATTACGCATTTCCGAACTCATTTAAATTTACATTCTGGCAGTAAACTGAAATCAGAAGAGAAAGGAAAGTCAATGGGAAATCTTTGATAAAATAAAAAATAACTGATTAGTTCAAAATAATGTCTTCATAATTTAAGAAGTTCAGGTTTTGATTATGACAGTGGAATTCATGGATTCCAGATTTCTACAACTTTTCAACTAAATGCGTCTTATAGCATGGGTTTAAAGAGGGTTTGATGAACACAATAATTTTTTGGACTATTTTATGCATATATCAGGTTATCAGTATTTATTACAAGTACCAAATTCATAATTTTAATAATGTTCCTTCAGAACTATGGCTCAACATTCTTGGAAAAATTTGGACAAGCTACCTTATATCTTTGGAGTGGTATTTATAGTAGGAATTTGTTTGCCCGTAACCATTGCCTTAATATGTGAGAGGGTAACGCCTTATGTGCCTTACATCAGGTAAGTCGTTTATGGATTCTAATGATATAGCATATTTCAAAAATTTCTGTTCGGTTTTTGAGTTTGAAACTCTTTGTGTATGTTTCTGCATTACTTTTGGATATTTATGTGTGTATTGTATATTTGTGATTTTCAATGATTTTTTTTTTTTAAATCTGAGCTAGGAATTTCCAATTTGACTAATGTAACTCAATGTTATTGCCATTTATATCCTTTCAAAATTATTCTAAATTATTCTATGGTTCTATCAAAGTTTTAGAAATGTTTGAAAAAGGCCAATTAAGTTTTTGTCAATTTTTTTAAAGGAAATTATTACAATTTAGAAGAAAATTCATGATGCTAATTTTTAACATTTTGTCCTTTCAATCAACATATTAAACATGAGAAACAAAATTTTAAATTAAAGAAGTAAACCACATCCAAAGTGAACTTCACGTTTGGTTGGTACGCTATAGCAGATCAGAAGACTCCAGTTTCAATACTGAAATACAATACTTGGCTGCTACTTTATTGTAGGATTTCACTACAGACGAGTAATAAACTTTAAAAAATTAATAAAACTGTCTGAGAGAAATTTTTTAATTTATCAATGAAAATGACGCATTCTCAGTAAAGCTTCACTATACAAACTGAGTGAAGGAAGGACTGGTTCCGATAGTTGATTTATCCAGCTCGTTAATTTTGATTTCAATGAAAAGAACTAGGCCCATCAACGACCGAGCAGTAAAGTCCCCAAACAATGGTAGTTCGGTCCGAGGTTCGAGTCCCGCGAATGGGCTGACTGCATGGGCGTTTTCGTGGTTTTCCCCGTGTGTAACAAGCCAGCTTTCCTTAGAAAGTCCTCCATGAAAGAAAGTCTTCCCTTCCGTGTATTGTCTTAGGGAGGAACACGTAAATAATAATGATGAAAAGAGATTAAGATTGTAACAACTTTAAATATTGATGGTAATATCTTGTACAATTTAAATTGATCAATAATAATGTATATGTTACTGGCAATGATTGAAATGCAGGCTCAAGAGCCGCATGCGGTTCTCGCACCAAGAATGTAATTATTTTATTTCAAAAAGTTAGAATACGTTTTCTCTTCTTGTTTGCACATCACCATTTTGAGTGCATCTTTCATCTTGTGAAATTAGTGTTAAACAAAGTCATTGCTGAGTTTCATCAGTGGATTTGCTTCAGCTGCGAGAAAAGTATTACAAACTGTGTGAATCCTTTATTGTCGAACATTATGGTACTTAATTTAATAAAGCAGAAACTAAGTTTCAAGCATCAAATATTTTATTTCCACATTAGATTGCAATTTTTAATAATACCAACATAAAAAAATATAAACAGGATAAATAATATTTGTAAATTTTAATTTTGCGCATTATAGCTAGCTCACCTGCTGTTTCGTACTTTTTTGAAAATTGTTAATGCATCTCTAAATAAAAGCGAAATCTTTTTACGTTTAGATGCTACGATTAGGAATTATACACCCTCAGAAAACAGACTTTATATATACTTACAAATTGGCATTTTTATAATTGGCATTTATCTTTAAACTGCATGGATGCTTCTGTAGAAAGTTCAGCGTAATAATTCACTTTAGAACATTTCTTTGACATCTGTGTGAATCGTCGTCTACACAGTGAAATGTTTACCTGTGAAACTGCAAAGTGTGTCAACAACAAAGGTTGAAGTTGAGCTATGCCTACTGATTTTATTTTAATTTGCATCCATATGAAACATTGATCTTGACCTATTCAATATCCAGAGGTAGGAAGAAAGGGGAAAAATCCCTTTTATAGTTCTGTTACAGCATTTCCAGTGTTCTCCAGTTCGGCCTTAATATTTATAATATTCCATATGATGAATTAATGATTAACTAATGTAAAATGAAAAAGAAAAAGGAAATTCTCTTCTAGTCTTAATTGAAAAATTTGCTACGGACACCTACACATCAAGTACTTCTGCTAAATTTTTTTCTTAATTTTGATAAATTGAAGAAGCTGAGTTTATTGCTCAAAAAACTAAAATTTTAATTTCAATAGGAGCGAAATTTCACGAAAATTATTCTCTGTATTTGGAGGTCATTCTGTCACTAAATTAGGTAAATTCCCCATGCAAAAATGAAAAATTAAGTAAATGTATGGTGTTTTATGTTGTAAATTCTCATTTAAAATATTAATTGATGTCTTCAGCTCGTGTTCCTTTGCTTAAATTGCATTTGAATTTTGCTAATTGTGAGGTATACCAGTCTGAGAGAATTGTAAATAACGGTGTGTATCTAAGTAACCTTTTTAAGAATAATTTCTTACATTTAAATGAAAATACTTAAAATTATTTTTTCGACAATTTTTAATTGTATGTTTGATTTTTATCTCCGAACATATTTTAATTGATTACTGCGACATACTCAAAGGGATGGATGACTCTTAAGGAAAACTGGCTCGTATCCACGCTACACATGAGGAAAACCACGAAAACGTCAATGTAACCAGCCCATTCGGCGGGATTCGTACCCCGGACCGAACTACCAATGCTCAACGACGTTATCGCTCGATCGCTGGTTGGCATAGTGAAATAATTGAAGGGGCTTCATGGGCCATTAGTGTTCTGTGGATCACGGGTTTGAGATCCACTGCTATAAAGGGATGCAAAAATTTCAACAGATGGCTTAGAAACATAAAACTTACTTACGTAAATAAACGTGTTGCCGCTTTTTCCATCTCAAATAAAGTGTGTCACACTATTCTTTAATTTAGATTATTACTACAATCCTTATTTCTTCTTGTTTTCTTAATTAAAACTCTTCTTTTGCTAACCTACTTTTCCATCATACCGTACTTCTAGTTAATCGATATTGCCTTCTAGTCTTCTTCGGGATTATTTAAATCTAAAATTTCACTGATATCTTATTCTTCGGTTGCATTAGTCAATGGCTTTTTAACCACATTGCCACTCTTGTTACTGCATTCTTTCAATAAAGTTTACCATTATGACATAACGCTGGTCTTGTAGATCACTTCCATTATTGTTACTGTCTTGCGCACTGTTCTTAGTATTATAGTGCGCGTGTTTAAGTAAGTATAAAACTAACCATAACGGTTGTTTGATCTTGATAACAACGCACATAAAGAACTTGTAAAAACATACATATCATTCAGCTAATTGAAAAATCAGCTTGCAAAGAATATCGAAATAAAAACACACAAACCACTAAATAGAACACACATCTAATGAAAACGCATGAATTGTCGAGATAAATCAACTACCATCGAAGCAACGTCGAAGAAGGTCTATTTACAGCTTATCGTCAAATGGAATTTCAAGAGACTTTTAATAATGCAGCTGCTCCGTTGTTTCCAGTTCTCCGGCATGAAATGAAGCTTTTTACAATAAGCCTGCTGAAACCAGGCTGTTTTAGCAAACAATTGCACTTTTTCTAAATAACTATAATGTATATGGGCTCATTACAATAAGCCTAAAACATCAGGCTAATTAGAAAGTGCTAGATAATGTTACAACTAGCCAAGTGCATTGGCAAAATAACAACGCTCTTTGCAATTATCCTAAGACACATACATCAGTTTGTTCTATAAATACACTGAAAAACTTGTGAATAATATGATTAAAAATTTAATTTATAAAATTGTTTAAATTACGCTAACTTACTACATTGTATGTACTTTGTAAAGTATATTATCGATATATTTAATTTCTTTCATTTTATTATTTTAGTGAAGGTGGTGGTAATTTTCCTGAAGCTGGAATATTTGGTATTTTTATAGTGATTTCATCTTATTTAAGTAAGTAACTTTAGTTCTTATAACTTTTTCATTAACTGAAGAAGGTTCAGTTAACAAATTACAGCTTATTTCCTTTTATTACAATAAACTCCGTGCTCGAAATTGACGCTAGATAAGTGTTTGCATTTTAATTCTAAATGTTCCTTATTCACGAAAGTAAAATGGTATAGAACATTTTCGAGTACTCTTAGAATCCCTCCCATCAAAGAAATATTAAATGTGAAGCTAAAAGGCTATTGCCATATTTTCATTATATAATTTTTTGTAATATACTGAAACATTTATTTTCTGATTTTTTTAATTCCGGTCTCTAAATTTTATGCTAACTACGGACTGCTGAAGCGTGTAGTAAAACTCCTCGCTCTCTACAATTTAGTTTTTATTATTCCATAGCTAAAATGCGATTTGTTTTGCACTACTGTCTTTTATCAAACAACATCGGGATTTTTTTAACCATCGGAAATTTTTAACAGGTAGCTTTTAAGTGGAAAGAATAGTGGGTGAATTCGGAATTCTCAGATCTCATTTTCAAAGCAAAATATTTGCAAGATTTCAATGATTACCTTCAAAAATGCCCAAATTACAATATCTGCGTTTTTACAGCTATTTACAACTGGGACATAAGAATATGCAAAACATGTTTCACGTTACAATCTGACACGAGAATTCGAGAATTATGCACATAAAACGCACGTAAAGCAGATATTTACAAGCTAGATAATTACACATTTTACTAAAAATAGCATTTTGCCTTTTTACATCATTATATATATATATATTTACATTTTTCAGGGCATGTTCAAAGCGTAAGCCTTTCTTCTAACAGCTACTCGAGATTGAATAGATAAAGATTAATATTAAATCGTTAAATTTTTAATATCTTTAAATTAAAAATCAAACTTTTACCCATGGGTCTTTCATTTCATGGTAGTTGTCACAAAAATCTCCATATCAAATTTGGCTTGTGGAAGCTTATTTTCATCGCTTGTGTCTAAGATTTGTATTGCACATTGTTTCATTTAATTAGGTCTGAATATTATGTTTCTGCGTTATCTCGTTGTGGAAGAGATGGCAGCTAAAGTGGGGAATGGACTTGATGACTTCTTAAACAAAGTATCGTTCATTCTTGGCTTCTTGTCAACTTTCGCCCTCATCGTCGTTGCCTGTTTTCCCGTAAGTCATTTTAAAATAGCAAGTTTAGCAATTGTTATAAAAGTTTACAACTGTTACAAAACTTTATTTATTTTCGCGTGTCGACAGCATTTCACTTAGTGTTTTGAGATAAGATGAAATTATTTTTGTTAAATATTAGCTTGATAATTGTGCCAATTGTAATTTGTTGCTGCTACTGTCTTAATAAGTATTTTATGGTATATCTGATGGAGGTAACTCTAGCTAAAAGTTTCAGTTATAAAGCTGTGTTTTAAGCGAGGTTAAATGCCATTACTCTGAGAAATTAATAACCTAGCCCCGAAGAAACTGAATTAGGGATATGTGCCGACTAAAAGGAGAGCCTTCATGGAAGACTTTTTAAGTTAAACTGGGTGGTTCCCACGTTACACTTGGAGAAAACAAAAAAACCCAGCCCAAGTGAAAGAATCCTTTCAACTTCCCTGGCCATACAGCCAACCCTCTCACCTGGAACCAATAGAAATCAAATCGAACTACCATTGTTCAGGACTTTAACCGCTCGGACACTGGTGGAAAAAAACGGGATAGCCTAAAAATGTAAAACGAAACTGTTGGATAGTTTACATGTCACAATTTGCAAAGAATTGTGCAGATATTAATAGATTTAAGATTTAATTTCAGAATAATATTGCAGAAAATTATGAAATTTACAAAATACTATGATGTTCTGTATAAGCAGAAATGCATGGAATGGACAACTGTAACAACAAATATAAATAATACTCTTCTGAACATTTAAATGGCAATTAAATGCAGTATTATTTATGCACATTTAGAGGCCATCCCATGATTCTTATTTGGAATAATTCCTATGTCATATTATTCAAAATGTTGGAATATTACGATGATTATTAGACAGTGACCCAGACACTCAAGGTTATCAAATGCGATTGACAAATTGAGTCACAACACTAATAATAATTTTTAAAAATAAAAAGGTAAATTATCTGCAAAGTGCTATTAAATGAAATCAAATATCTCTATGTTATCCTCTAATGCGAAACTCAGAGCGAAATCTAAGTGAATTAAGTATGGAAAGTTCAAATTTCGTGCAAGCAAACAGTTGACTGTGATGAGCAATTCCATCCTAACTGTAGCATGCAAAATATTATTTAATTATTAACATTATTATTAAACATGTAAAATATTATTTTTAAGTGATTTTTATACATTTATTTATTTATTTATTTACTTATTTTCTTTCCCTATAGACTACAACTGTTACACAAGTTCATAACAGTGCTGCAGGCATCGTGTGTACTTGCATCGTTCTATATATGAATTTTCATTCTTGGATAAGTTTACGGATGTCTAGCAATAAAAAAGTTGAAAATATTCGTCTAACTATCACACTTTTCAGCTCACTGGCTATAGTAATAAGTATCCTTTTCTGGTTTCATTCAGGTTTTCACTTTGTCAGCGTCTAGTAATTTGTTCAAATGTTTGAATTAAATTAATTGAAATAATCTTTCTCCTCCAAGCACTTTTATTATACTCTAAGACATAAAAAGAGACGTAACAAGAAGCAGTTACCCAATTGAGACAAAAAATACTAGAAGTGCATTAATGTTCTACAGCTAGTATTAATTCTATAGCTGGTGGATAATGTCCTGAAAGATTCCTTGCCAAGTTGTCTCCAACTGTCGGGTTCTTTTGCCAATATTTTAGGATAACAAGAAGTTCTTTACCATCAACCCCTAAAGTTATTTTATGAATGAGAGATCTGGCGAGCTAGTTGTCGAATTAAATGTTTGGCAAATACGAAGAAGTCAGTAGAAATGAGTGCCGTGTGCCGCCAAGCATTGTCTTATTGAAACCCTCGAAATGGAGAGTATAAAAAGGCAGCACAATAGGCGGTAGAATTTCGTCAATTTTAATTATTTGCTTATTTCATGAAAAGGTATTTTGCATTTGAAGTTTCATTACAATCAGATTATTCTTCCGGCCGCAGGATGCATTAGTTTCTTTTTATGTCTTCGAGTATATGTATTTTATTTGTTGTGTCTTCATTTATATTCTTTTCTTTAATTTATGTTCATTATTTTTGTTGTTTCTTCTCATTCTTCTACTATATTGTTCCATGTATAAATCTCTTTTTCTATTTCTATCTTTTTTCTATCGTTCTTAATGCAGCATCTATTGCTCAATTGCTACCTTGTTTAATACTATTTTACTGCAAAAGTAACATTATAGCTGTGTTGCTGTATCTTCTTCACTACCATAACTAGTTGCTATTTTTGGAGTATTGGGATCTTCGCAGTGGACAGCCGAATACTGGGCTGGCAGTAAAACCCCAAAAGATGATGTAAGTTATATAAAAATATTTTGTATTGGTTTATGATATATGTAAGGAAATGTTCAAATTTTAATCTAATCCAATAATTTCTTCTCAAAGACAAATGCATTAATTTGAAACATTATTCTTCACTTACAGCTTTTTCTGGTGCAATTCAATGCTCTAATTCTTGATATAAACATAAATGACTGGAAAGAGATTATTGCTCACGCGATGGCAGTTAAACTTTATATGAATTAAGAGTAGTTTTTAAAATGCAGTAACAATTGTGCATTACAACTAAATACAACAGAAACATAAAACTTGCTTCTGGCAGTCTGTATGACACTAACTCGAATGTTAGGGGGAAAACAAGTTAAGTTCTAACTTAATTAAATCCCACAATTTCTGGCCATACTCCTGCTAGAATTTCATCCACAACGGAAATTTGTCAGACTAGAAATTTAAACTAAAATCTAAAGTAAACTCCAAATTAAAATATTTATTTATTTATTTCTATTATTTGCAGAATTATAGATTTACTAATCAACGTTTAATTAAAATTAATATACTAATTAAATTTAATTAAAGTTTAAATTAACTAATGAAACAGAAACATGAAAACCATATAGTCAGAATCAAAGGGTAGAGCTAAATTTTTCACTCGATTTTTTTTAACTATATACATAGATTATACTGAAATTTTTTAAACAGGGGCACACAGTATGTACTAAAAACATTTATTTGTTATACATGTAAATTTAAACTCTTTTATATTCTAGACGATAATTTGTGGCAATAATTGCAATTTATCTATCAAAGAGTAACTTTTTAAAGGAAAATGGAACGGACGCAAGAGCATTACCGCATTATAATTTTCCTTGATATTTAAGTGAGGTTAAATCAAGAACAATGCCTTTAGTATCTACACTTAGCACGAAGATATGAAGCTCCATCTCTTACCACTGTATTCAGAAGATTATACAAAATTTCGTAGAGATCGAAGCTCTCTCTTGGAGGAAGTATGTAGAAGAAATTCTTTATCAGCTATAATCCCAGAAAATGTGTCGGCCATACGAAAAATGTTAATCAATGATAATGGCTGTACCTATCAAATCATACAGGTCACAGTTAACATAAGACAAGAACACCAAAACTTTGCAGTCATATTTGACAGATAGACAGGGCTATTCCCAAGTTCCCCCGCTGTGCTAGAATCTGCTTTACACTGTTTGAGCAAGAGAGTAATAGTGAGTGTTATGTTGGGGGGAAAAACTGCATATTGCTATGGGAGTTTACTATGCAACTGCGCAAAAGACCTTAAATAACATCATACATAGCCAGCTCGTATGCTGCAGCATATCCAGGATAGCTCTGATTTTTGTGATGGGTGCCTTTTCTTCGATGATATAACGTTGATACGGAATTCTGTCGTCTGTAGCGCTCGAAGTCTGAGAGGACACTGGATGTCAGTGAAGAGCTCGTCAGGTAATGTTCGGGAGTTCCCGTGCTACCGTAGATGCATTGCGAGACCAATGCATCCGCGGTAGCACCGTTTCGTTTATGAAAATAGACTGTAAATACACCCTGACTTGTAATATAGCATATTAGCACAGCAGTGGAAGCACATCTTTCGTTGCTGACCTTGGGAGAGAACAGACAGGTGAAACGACCTTATGGTGCGTAGTCCTATTCGTCTTGCCATTTTGCTTTAGCAAATTATTGACGACACTTTTTATGGCGAGAAAACGGTAGGTTCAAATGGATCAAAGGAACTTAAAACTTGAAAACTTTATATCTCAAGAACTTTTGATCCATTGGACTTCTATTCAACTACAGAAATTTCACTAATTCTTGAACTATTGAAATTTATTAAAATCAAATTTAAATATATATAAAAATTAGCTCAACGTAGCATGTAAATGCAAAGAAGAGTGTAAATAATTTTCACTGTCATGTAAAAGTCATGTAAAAATATCACTGTCACGTAAAAATATTCATTGTAAAAACTCTCTGTGAAAAGGATCTTTTCAGTAAATAATTTCCACTGGGTGGGCGTTTTCCGTTAGGTATCACCTTAGACCGGAAGCCCTCTAAGTGGTGCAAAGTGCAAAGGTAGGAGCAGATGTTGTGAATTCACTCCGATTTTGCGAGCTGCTTTCTTTGCCAGTGAATCTGCTTGCTCATTTGCTTTATTTTCGGCATGTGCCGTTATCCAGTTGAGATTGAAATTAAGGTGTCTGAAGAGCCGTAAGTCCCACTGAATGTTACTGATGATATTCAAAATGTGGACGGGCTTTAGGATGGCATGTAGCACTGAAAGGCTGTCACTGTAGAAACTGGCGCTGGGGTGTCTGTTGTTTACTGCATGAGTTATTGCCATTGCTAGTAAGTACGCTTCTGCCTTGAAGATGCTATTTTGAGTAAAAGTTGTGCATTCCATGCGTGGAACACTTGTTCATTAGTGTACTGATCAAAGGCCCAGCCAATTCCATTATCTTAGTCTGAACCGTCAGTGCAGTACTGAAACTTTGGACTGAAATGTTGTTGCAAATGTACACTTGTATCGAAGACTCCTCTGACAGCTGGCAGAATGTGCAGCTCGTTGTTCGATGTTTCATACACATGAGGGCGGAATCATGTAATGTGGAATATATTCTTTCATTTTCTACCAGTTGATACAAAAGGATCTTAGCACTGGATTCGCAGCTATACATAAAATTATTCATGAAGAACTTCATATGTGATAATAAGTTAGTCATTGGATTCGCCATAAATTAAAAGAGAACCGAAAACCGAAGCTTGTGATAATCACTAAGGGAACCCTAAAATTATTTGATGAGAGAAGACACGTAATTATTTCTAAACTCATAACTGGTTGTAAAATGTACATACCTTTTTTTGACTTTCGAGCACATTAAGGAAGTAAAATATTGGTCTTTGAAGAGTGCATCAAGCGGTGTATGACAGTGAGCAATTAAAAACGTAATGTATGCCATTTTCTTCAGAAGTACAGGACTAGTAAAAGCCATCAAATTATAGGGACAAAAAGTAGTTACAGCTCATTGGTGCATCATTAAGTGTCTTCGAGAAATTCTTTAAGAAGTGAATATTTGAGGGTTCATGCTTCATCATAATAAAGCATCTTCTCATTCAGAAACATTGACAATTGAATTTCTTGAAAAGAAACACAGATGGACAGAATACCCACCCTATGCTCCTGATCTTGCTATTTGTGACCTCTGGCTATTGTTTACTCTAAAACAAAACTTATAGGGATGTCCTTTCTCTTACGAAGATAAAAGTGATGAAACTATGAAAGCATAATTTTCATTTAATGCAATAAATGGATAGTTTAAAGTATAATTTTGGGAAAATTCGCCCACAAATATCCATTGATGTTAGTGAAAACTATTTTGAATACACCTAAGGTTTGATAATTTTGAATTGTACCGTTTTGCTCTATATAAAAAATTTCAGAGGGATCTTGTAGTAAGGCGGCTCTAGGAAAGCTAATTCAAAACGACGTATCCTATTCAGAACAGATGAGTTCTCACCTGGTGTGCAAAGAAGAACAAAGAAAAAAATTAACATAATGATAAAACAAACATCAAAAGACCGATCAGAAATTCATCAAAGCTTTGTGACAGTAGGATTTTCACCATATGCGCAACATGACGTATGAGGGCGGGTGAGAAAATTAAAAAGTATGAGATTCGTGTAGGCTCAGGATTCAAGTTTGATGGTCCCCGTCTCAGCATGGCGCTTCTGTAGCTTATTTCTTTTGATTATTGCTATTTCTTACTGTCCATTTTATTTCGGATTTTTAATATTTTTTTAGTCTTTGTTTCTCTTCAGCATCCAAGTCTATATTCAGTTACAGGTTAGGGTGTGGAAGTTGTTTGTTTATATGAATTAGTTTACAAATAATCTGTCTTGTAATTTAATTTCGTGAGGTATTTCATTCGTTTCAGAAGCTACTACATATTTATTTTTTGTTTTTACTTATTTAATCTCCAATATCTTCATGGAATTAGCTGAAAATCTATTGAATTCTAGTATTCAAGTATTTGAGGAAAGATGGCTCAATACCTTTTTACCGATACTGACAACAATAGGTGTGAGTAACTGATTTCAGTTAGTCAAGTTCTTGTCAAGATTGATAACGATGAACCGGAATTCCTGAACGAAACTAATCCTTCAATTAGTGATCGTTAGTAAACTGGCTCATTGTAGATCAAACCGCTTCTATTGGGTATAAAAGACTCACAGTCTACTGCGTACTTATTCTCTTGTCACTGCTAATAAATTACCAGTTCTTCCCCCAAATGGTAAATAAATTGATTCCAATGATAATGAATTATACCACAGCGGACACTGTGAACGTAAAATTGGTAAGAAATAGGATAAAAAATTACTCTTTCCAAGCATTTCAACATTCGTTACCTCAAACAAACCGATTTTATTCCTCTAGACACTGCCGTAGCTCAGTCTCAATCCAATAAACCTAACGCGTCTTTCAATCAATTAATCAGAAACAAGGGATAAGGATCAAGGTTCACATCCTTACCAGAAGCAAGAGATTTTCTTTCCTCATCGCTAAAGTAAAATCCCTCCGTTATTAAGATAAAAACCTTAGTTATGTGTTAACTTAAAATGGGTTAACTTACGTGACTTAATCAAACAGGCTAATATCAACGATTTTAGAGATAATTATTTATGAGAATTTCATGAAAATAATCGGTTTCCTCAGTCGAATCCTTAATTCCCTCGATCAACTCACCAAAAACAATTCTGTAAAACGCGAGATAAACAGATGACACTAATAATGTACAATAGGACCACTATTAAAATCCTCTCTACAGTTATCGTTCTGTGGAACGCTTAAAATGTTAAAAACCAAACTCGGTAAACTTTAAGACTTCCCTTATTAATATAATGTAGATACTTGCTTGGGAACAGAATTGCATCTTACTGCATGTCACAATCTCTATATTTAGAATTATATCACATACAAAGTGATAGATTCAAACATTGTAGCTTCGCGATTCTTATCAAAAGGATTTTTAAATCGATGGACAATTCCAAAGGCTTTGAATGCATTAAAATTATAGTTAATCTATCCAGTTATAGAAGACACTATGTACAATATGCAGCCCTCCCAATTTGCACCTCATAGAGCAGTATTAAAAAAATTCCCACCTTTGTAGAAGTTGACTTAAACATGAAAAATACCATATGAGGTTACATAAACTCCAGTGGCACTACACTTCAAAGTATATTCTCACATAAGATATTCTCCCTTCCTTTCTGCATGCCTTCGGGGCATAATGGTTGCGTACTCGATGCGTATTCGAAAAGTCCAGGTTTGAGTCCCGGCGAGGGCATTGCTCATTTTTCACATCTCCTGCTTCAAAATAACCTAATGACTCTGCACTCAAATGTCCGTATGGAATTTAAATTAAAGACGAGCTTACACGTAGACCTAGCTACATCAGTCGCCATCATAAGACTCAATATTTTCGTCAGCAACATCCCTTTCCCAGCGGCGGTCAAAATCATTAGTTTCTTGTGCTCTGACCATTCTTGTTATTGTAAGACTAGGTTCATGTTATTGTTAAAATAGGTTTTCCTGGCGTTGATTCTCAAAGTGCCATCAAATACATAGACTGGGACTTATACAGCAATAGCAACAAAGTTTGAAGAGCAACCTAGTTGGTCTACTTAAATCTCCTAACTATATAGACCAGGCTATCAGCATCTTATCAGCGACACTGACAAAGCTTACGCTGAAAAACGACCTCGGAAAGTACAGCGTATTCTTCCGTTCACCTTCTTAAAAATATTCTTGATAAGATCATCCGGTTATAAACAATGTGATAAAAAATTAAAACTATTTAAAATCAGTTGCCTGAACAAGCTTATTCATAATCAAGTTGTAGAACAGAGAACCCACATATGGAATGATAAAACTGGCAAACTTAATATGGAAGACGGTTCCCTGTGATGCTTTTTTCAGGAAGATGAAATCTAAGAAAACTACCAATAGGGAGAGGGGTATTAATTCTCGATACGTTTGCAATTGAGATGGCGAAGCACAAGCATTTGTTCAGCATTTTCTGACTCAATTTTTCCGAATGACTTACCATACCTATAAAAATCAAGTTAAATTCTTTGTTGATAACTGACTTACCCCTCCTTCAGTATCTCCACTGCGTAAATTTACCACATCTGATGAAGTCAGCAGCATGATTAAGAATTAAAGGGTTTAACCGATCTGTTAAAAAAAATTATATCAAGTCAAAATTTTCTCCGACTACGCATATCCTATGACTAAACAACTACGCACTTCAATTATTGACAGACATCAGGTACAAAACATCTTACCATTGAAAAGCGATCCTTAATTATTTTAAATATTTCCTTCGATTGTTTCAATGTGGAATGCTGTTCCTCAAATACGCGAAAATGTTTCCTTTTTTAAACAGGCTAGAGATGATTTCAGAAAGAATGAGCTGAAGAAATTCAAAGGAAATTGATCAGTCATAAAAATTTCTCACAGCTAAATGCATTAAAATCAAAAAATTGTGATCAACATTGAGAGGCCTACAATTTTCTTCAAACCATTCTTGTAGTCTCTTCGTCGTATAGCTGAAAATATGATCCACGTTTTTCGCATATCATTATCTGAGGTACTTATCTATGCCACTCAGCCATCGGCACACCTATCGTCATGTTCCAAATTGTTTATTATATCATTAACATAACTTTTAAATGACAGTTAATGGCAGCTCCCTGTGTAAGGTTTGTCTGTAGTTATTTGCTATCAAACAATGATTTTTGTAGAAAATATTCTCTTTTGAATTTATCTATCAAAAGAGGAATATTTCCGGATACATGTATATTACGGATACATGTGCAATTTCGTAACAAATCCCAATCTGTAAATGCACTGACATGCCTCTTTAAAATTTCTAAAAATTGCTGGTATAATATAATTTTGAACTAAGCTGTTTTTAATACTTTATCTGAACATAGCAATAGCGGTTTCGTCCGTTGAACGATGTCTGTTTTCTGCCCGGGCAAGATGTGCCTGGGTAGCGATTTTATAATAATCAAAAAGAACAATTATAAACTCGCATATGGAATGATATGTAAATATAAGAATGCAACTATGTGAATATCAGAATTATCAGCATTGCTGTGTTTTTTTTTTTTTTTTTTTTTTTCTTAGAACAGACAGGAATGGATTTTGAATATATTCTTAGTAACAAAGAGGAATTAATGAACATAAAAAAGCTTCTTTGTGTTTGCCTTTAAACAACCACTTTTTTTAGAATTGCATTTTAATTTATAATTTTTTTAATTTTCAGGGATTTGCTTCTTATTTAGTAAGTGCGAGTGCTGAATGGATCTTAGCTGTGATGTTTTTCCTCTATTTGGTAACATATATTCCTGAGTTCAAGAATTCATCATTAGAATTGAAGTTGAAACTTAATATTGAAAATAGGAGTATTCCAAGAACAACTGTAGTTAAAGCCTAAATAAAATATACAGTATGCATAGTAGGTGGTGAACTCAACGGTATAATGTACATTTTCTCTCTGAAATTTCACTTCTAAATAAAACAAATTTTTCATTTGAAATTTGTTTTTTACGGAGAATACGATATTGAGATCGAAATGAAGGCTGCATGTAATATTGCGTTGTGTTAATTGTTCTGTACTAAAGGAATACTATTTCTCCCCTTTTTTATTACTTGTTTACATAAAGTTTAAAATAAAATTATTATAAAGAAAAGACATTTTGTACTCAATTTAGTAATTACAAGGTAGAGCGTTGGATACGTTAGGAATGATACGGCTCCCGAAGCAACACTACTTACGCATTTTGGGAAGTGTAAAAATTAAAATTAATTCTTATAATTTGTATAGAGATATTAAATAGTGCTGTAATAAGTGCTACAATAATTTTTACAGTGAATCAGAAATAGTTTGTGTGCATGAAAACATTTTCTTACGTTGTAGCAACCACATTTATGAATTTAATGGTTAAGAAGAGTAGCACAAAATACACATTATAAAATGGCTTTTTAAATTTATGAGCAACTCTACTGTTGGACTATTGTTACAAAAATGATACAGAGCAACTTTTAGTATTTTATTATTTCAGCAGGTCATCATGAAATGTCTTCCGATATGCACAGCAGCAGTCTTGTGAAATATAAAATGGCGTCGCCTCAGTAGAAACTGTATGGTGTTCTTTGGTTTGCTGAACATTAGTCTTATTTTAACAAGCAGGGATTGAGATGTGAATTTCACGCAACCTAACAGTCATAAGAAAAGATCTAAGTGATAGCATCCTTGGTAATTGGATTAAACGTAGTAACCCAATTTCCTGGCTTCCATAGTGATCTGATATTATTTCGATCGACTTTTCTTCTGGGACTTTATGAAAGGTAATGCCTTGTGCTGTAAATATTCAAGCTATTCAGAATTAAATTCAAGATGCTATTTTGCACATACATCCAGCCATGTCATAGGCAGCTTGGCATAAGGATGTCTATGGATCAGAAATTCCACGTTCCAATAAAAGATTGTATATGTTAGTGAATTAATTTTAAATACTAAATTCTAATAAGTTACTTTACTCGACGCACTTTTTTAAATTTATGAGCATTATTTTCCATGCAGTAGCGCCTTAAAAAGAAGTCATACTTTCGAATAATACAGTCTTCGTTTTCTTCTTTTATGCTATGATATTCTATTATCTCTGGTATAAAAACTGGAGAAAATGAAAGGTATTTTCGCCAAGCAGACCAAAATTTTTGTATTTGTAATCAAATATAACTATGAAATAAAAAGCAGATTTTCATTATGAACCGAAAAATTCCCAATATTTTATTGAAATATTGGGTATTTTCAGTTGACTGAGAAACATCTATTTCTCAAACACATTTTTAATACTGATTACGTACACATGAAAAAGACAAGATCTGAAGCAACTATAACGCATGTATTAAATAGAGCTTCAAGTAGAACTTGGTATAGGATTTTTTTTCATAGAGCAAATAATTCAAGTTTTATGTACGATGTCAAAACTAATTTTATTTATATCACTCTTACACTCTTTCGTTTATTGTCATCCTGCTGCTATCGTCACTCGTGTGTGACATAATCAAAGGTCTGATGATAACGTAAGTGGATATCTTTTGGAAATCCGGGAAGAAACTAAGGAAGACCAGCGAATAAAACAGAACGAAGATTCTCTCCAAACCAAATACAATGTACGGCACTGGACTCTAAAAGAAAAGAGATGAGAATTACTGATATACTGTAATCTCTACTAAGAAAAATTACTTTGTTAAAAACTTTCCGCTTTTTTACTTTCTTGTACGAAGTAAACCAAATACTGTAATAGCGAAAAATTTCAGGTACCATATTTCAAAGGAAATATCAATTTTGTGCGACCCCGAATCAATCTGTGAATTTTTTTTTTTTTTTTTTTTTTTTTGTGTGTGTGTGTGTGACCTCTGTACGTATGAACAGAATAAAGGACACTTTTTTAAAATATGTTTAAAATTGTAAAATATATTTAAAAAGGATTCAAAAGGGACGTTTTTGTGACGTCTGTACGTACGTATGTATGTATATATGTATCTAGCATAACTCAAAAGTGATTAGCCGCAGAACGTTGAAATGTTTTTGTTGTTGTTGCTGATCCTGACTCTGGTTAGCCATTAGGCTAGACCAGTGGTTCTCAACCTTTTGACTAACGCGTACCATCTAAACAAAAATTGAAAAACTTTAGTACCACTACTACGTTTTGCAATGATTACTTCTCAGTTTCTCAATAGAAATATTTAAAAAAATATTTTGCCATTTCCACAACCTATTGCCTATTTATATTAAATTTGAACACATAAAAATATTAGATTAAAAATTATTAGCATTTTTACTATTAAAAATTAAGTTATAATAATTTAATTCTGAAACTTAGTGGGAAATGTTGGCCTGTTGAAAAGAGATCAATTTCTTATGTCTGTCTGGTCTTATTTCATTTAATTTTAACCGCAAATTAGGATACACTTTTAACTTTGTTCTGTATTTATTTTTCAAATATAACATGGAAGAAAATCCTTGTTCACACAAATAGGTTGTACAAAAATGCAATAAAAATTTAATAGCTTTATTAGAAATGCCTTTAACTTCTTTTTTTCGGTTCAGCCAAATGTTAACAAGTGTGCTATTTTTGAAATCTTCAGTTAGAGTTCGATCATAGGAAATGTCTATCAATTGTTCTTTTTCTTCCCGAGATTTTTGAAAGTTAAAATACTTTTGTGTACCACCTATTTTTCTCTTGCGTACCACCGGTTGAGAATCGCTGGGCTAGACGATATCCACGAGTCCAAGAGCCGTCCACTATAAGTTGAACCCTCTCAAGTCCTACTAGGTGCCTCAACGTGGCGACGGGGGGTGACAATGGGAGGAATGGCCGAAGTACATCAGGAGTTTCTCCTGATAAGACCACCCTAGGAGTGAAGATCACTCCTCTTAGCCCAGCTAAAACGAGTAGGACGGAGCGAAATCAGCCTTCTATAGCGTTAGCCACTTTGTACAGATCCCTACTACTATCCTAACTGTTAGATGTTCCATCGTAAAGACAATCGAACTTTTTATCGTGTCATCTGAAACTTTTAAATAAAATAACTTCAAGTCAGAAGAAAGTTTAAAACAAACCTTTTCATTTAATCCTTAGCCTGATGCTTATAAAACCCGAGTAATAACTTTAATAAAAACTCCACAGGTTGCGTGAAAGCAGAAACAAAATTTTAAGTAAAATTCAATTTTTAAATTACAAGGCAATGCGTGCTTACAAACTTTAGATCAAACCTTCAAATTCCGTGAATAATTACGGTTAGCAAAGCTAAAACCGACTCAATCGCTAAGATGAGCAATAGCGAGACGGTTAGCGATAGCTGCCAAAAGCTCTGTCTTAAACTCAAAAACTCTCTTCTTAAATGCTTAACTAATTTTCCTCCTGATAGAAGCCAACGAAAGTAGAATTGAAAATAAAGCAAGATAATAAGGTACTGGTTAATAAGCATAACCTTGTAAGTTGTCGTCTGAGTCCTTCAATCATCTTTAAACGTTCAGTAGCAAAGCATTAGTTATATTGCTTCATATAATAAAATAAAAGTATTTTTTAAACAACTATCATACACTATTTAACAGGTCTTAAAAGTTCTGATAAACCTTAGAACTTACTTCATAATTCACACTCTCTCCTATTTGTACGGTTGTATTTGAAACGCTTTCATTTTTTTCGAATGCAAATGAGCCGGCTGTATACATCTCATGAAGAGTTATAACTAGCACACATGTTAAGAACATAAATTTCAAATTTTAAAACAAATTTCAGTTTATTTTTAATGTAAAAATAAGTTTATAAGTCCCTTAAATATAAATTAATCTCTATCTCGAGGAACAGATTTTGAAGTTATGCAGCTTTATTTGTTGAACTAGTGCCTAATTTCATACAATATCTTTTAGTTCCTTAACGTGAGTTTAAAATAAATCACTGAGAAAAGCTTGAATATTGGAATCGTGTCATTCTGTTTTAAGATTAATTTTAAGAAAACTTTTCACGTATTAATGTTTATTCGGATTGATAATTATCATTTATTGTGAAGATTCGGAAATTCACGAAAATTATGCAACCGTTGGCGTTACTGAAGGAAGGCCAAGAGAAAAACAGCAAAAATCTTTCTTATCTGAGATTAATGCAATTTCGCTGCATAAAAGCTTTAAAATTTAGATTAGATTTTTCATAGAAGTGAACCAAAGCAGTACTTTAATCTGTAACTAATTGCAAAATACCGCCTAGTTCCTATTCTCTCGTTTTGTTTCAATTTCTCAACTTTTTGTATACGACTGGTATTCGGCGTATTACAAAATAGCTGGCCAAGGTGCCTTAATTTTGATTTCACTTTTCGATATCTTCGGTGATGTAAGAAAATTTAGATTACAGTTTAGTTTAAAAACATTCAAAAGTATTTCAAGTTTTCTAAAGCTCAGGTTAACTTTTAATATTTGAAGGTTTTAAAAGGATACAACTAATGCAGGAAGCTGTCAAAGCTATTGTAATTGTGGCACGTATGAGGAATATAAGACAAAATTTCGATTGTAAGTATGTGATTGTCGTCTGAATAGCAGCAAATATTACTCCCATTCCGAAAAACATGAAAGCTCCGACAGCTTGAAACAGACCGTCCTGAAAAAGACAGTTGAAATGGAAATCACATAAGGATGCAGTGTATTTGAGAATCAAGTCATATATAGAGTAAAAGGATGTTTCAGACTTCAACGCACTTTTAGCTTGGAAATAGAGGGAAAAGATGCAATGATGAGAAGACCAATAAAGGATAAAATTCCTGAAAAAAAAGCAATTACATTCAACAGATTTGTGACACTGGATGTCCGTGTATTCTGGTCTTCAACAAACACATAGCGCAGTGCAACGCACATTGGACCTGTGGGACAAAAAGAGACAATTCAGGATAGTCAACAAAGATTCCAACATTGTAGTTTAGCATTAAATTTTTGTAGATAAACACTAAACAAATTTCAAAAAACGAAATCAAATATGAATAATATGGTATGGCTTTAAGTATATGCATAATAGCTTATTACCTGTTAAAATGGAGAGATAGAGAAATGTATTAAAAAATCCCATTTCTGGATAATATCCTCCATCAAAACTGCATGAAAAAAGAAGTGAAGTGGTAAAATTCATTTTGTAATTTGTCATTCGCCATAAAATAAGGAATATATTAAAGAAATATGTAAAGTTACCTTTTTACGTAATGATTAAATACTAGTTATTAAACTTCCAAAATGTCATTTTTTGATAGTGAATATAATAAATATATTCACTATAAAAATGTATATAATATATATATATATATCCCTTGCCTTGCATAGAATAATTCATTTAATTTACTAACCATAATATAATAATCGTACTTAATACTAGCTGAATCTTTAAGTGTCCTTTAAATGTTTTTTACACAACTATATCATTTGGTATGTAACAGTTAGGCAAAATCTTCAGGAATTAAGCTCTAAAGGAAAAATTTTACTCTAAGCAAAATCTTTATTTGTTCTAGTATTCACCAAAAGACCTAAAATTTTGATGAAACTTATTTAATTTATATGTTATCAAATTCACAGATAAAAATGAAATTTTCTAAATTAATTTTCTGGTAAGACCCATCTAACTAAAATTTTACGCATATTAAACTCAATTTAAAGTCACTACTTACACAAAATTATACTCAGTCTTTATATATGCAAAATACGAAGATTCAGTTTTAAACACGGAAATCTGTTAATTCGGATAGTAACGCACATGTATGAATAATGATTTGAACACACTATCTCTTAAACTTGAAAAAAAAATCGAATAATCAAGCTCATTTAATTATAATTCATTAATATTGCTGATTATTAATACTGCATTATCATTTAATTATAATTCATTAATATTGCCCCTTCATTAATATTGCTGATTGAGAACATATTCTTAAGTAACAGAAGGTTAACTATTAATGATGTTAAAATAAAACAATCCCATTGTTTCTTCACTAAGAGATGAAATTCTATTCTTATTGACAATGGTACAATAAAATAAGGGAAAAATTTCGGTAAATTAAAACAAATCCACTAAAGGAAATAGTCTCATAATTCTTTATTTATTGCTCTCTAAGTTTTATAAATGCAACTATTTTCCAAATCTAAAAACAGGCCCACACCAGAGGCAGAGCGGTAACGTGCATCTCAGCCAGTTTCCCTAAACACATCTTAAACGGGGCATCTCTCCTTTGCCGTGCAGTAACTAATAGCGGAGCACGTATTAAATAATAAAATAAAACCTAAAAATATGTAATCCTTACAACACTAAGTGTGCAGTATCTCAAAACAATCAGTAAATTAACCAATGTTCTTTGTTCAGAATTTCTAGAAATTAGATATATGTAAGAACAAATTGTACGTTTATATACAGGCTTATAAGATATTTCTCCCGCCTTCTTACCATATCTTCGTGGTGTAGTGGGTTAGCACACTCGGCGGGTATTCGAGAGGTCTGTGGTTCGAGTCCCAGCGAGGGCACGGCTCATTTTTCCCTTCTCCAGCATCGAAATAACCTTATGTCCCTACAAGGCTAATTTTAAAATATCTTATAAAAATGAAAGGTAGATCGAATTCAGCAAATACTGTAGTGAAAGACGCGTGCAGAAATGGCGTGTTGATGTGATACAGATCGCTGGTGAGCTATAGATAAAAGCGTTATGCTGGAGTAAATTATCATTCTCCATGCGAATTTCGAGCGGTATGTATCGTTACATGAACACGCAGTTCACCGAAATGTATTTTATCTATGAGGTTGTGAAAACGGTACAGCTTGCAGAGTTATTAGGTTTTTTTTGAAGCAGAGGAGGGGATAAATGTCCAAAGCCCTTCGCCGTTATTCGAACACCGAACCTCTCAACTGTTAGCCGACCATGCTATTCAGTTATACTCCGAAGATACACGGTAAGAAGAAAGAAAATACCTTATAAGCTGTACAAAAGACTGAAATCGTTCGCTCTGCATACTTTAAGCAGCTACTCCATTTTATCCTCAAACCATAGATTAATTGCAGATCTCCGAGCTTCCCAAGACAGTAGCGATGCATACCGCTCGAAATTCTCTCGCGGAATGAAGATTTACGCATACAGAACACTTTTACCTAAACGCTTTTACTATCCTGTCACAAAATCCACTTATTTTAGTCCTCTCTACCTGCCTTTACTTTTAAGCCAGATATTTTTAAATAACCCTGTCGTTTCGGTTATCTGAATGAGAGAAAAATAGATGTATGCTGCGTTTAAAATTCTTTGATAAATTTAAATCTTCAATTTCAGAAAGTTCAGTTCTATTAGATGGTAATTGTAATATTTCTTCACAATAAAATTTATTTTCTGAATGTTGAAGACATTCATTAATATGTAATACATTTCCCAGTTTTCTAAACTAAATTAAGTTTAAAATTTTCTTTTTTTTTATCTTATACTAGAGATCTATTCTACCGTAATATATCTAAGATTTAGATATTTCCTCTCATTCGGTTAATTATTGCATCCTGTGCTTTTAACGGGTAAAAAATAATGAATTATTCATAAGACATCTTATTTCCAATGCCAGTAAATTTGTCCACTAGCTGAAGATTCAATAGACTACATTTAAAAGTATTATTTCTTTATGGGCTTGTTTTCATTCGGAATAAGATGAGTGCGTGTTATTTTTTTTTTTTAGCTTTCCAATTAAAGACAACATTTAGCAAAATTCCGTGGAAACAGAAGTAACCCTTTCCAAGCAAGTAGCTTTAGCGTTCTTTGTTCATAATGAGCTATTTACCTCTTTTATTATTCTTTATTAAAATAGGAAGAAAAGAAACCGCCTTGTAATTTCCTTGGTTAATTCTACTGTATGCATTAAAGAAGTATCACCTTTCGTTGAGAAAAGCAAACTATCATTTGAACTGCCCGTATCTGAAATTGCTCCACGAAAAATCGGTACTGTCTGCTACTGACCTGTTTGTGATTCTATGATACAGAACAACAGCTATATTTACATATTTTTTCGAATAATGCACAGAATGTAAAATTGCACTTTAAAGACGTACAATGCATGTTCCTATTCCTGCTAGCGTACAGTTGAGGAATGACCAGTTAAACTTATTGCTTCGCATGAGAGTACACAAAATTCTGATTAATGTGTACAATATTTTAATAATATAAATATTTTCCAGAGAAATGTATTAAATACAGCATTTTGAAAATTTTGCATTTTTTATGTGTTATACTACTTTCTTAAAGGTGTTATGTGAAACCATATAAAAAAGCAGCAAAGCTATATCAGTAATGATGATATTACACACACTGGCCAATAAATCAGAAACCCAAAATGAATATTTTATTTGACTACCTTTTGCATAAAATTATATAATTTTATACAAAATGCAATAAATTCTCTGATTCGTTTGGGCATCGAGTCTACATGCTTCTGGAGTGCATTTATGTTCAGAGAATACCGTGTATTGGATATGCAGCTTCTTAGATCTTGTAAATTAGGTGGAAGAGGAGAGTGCTGTCGGATGCGTCCTTCCACCATATCCCACACATTTTCTATGAGGTTAAGATCCGGGCTATGTCCTAGCCAGGGAAGGTGTTGGAAGTCAGATTGATGTTCAGCGAACCAATTTTGAACACTTCTGGCAGGATGTATAGTTGCATTATCGTCCATGAAGTATCCGTCGCCATCAGGTTAAAAATCTAACACTGCAGGGTGCTCTTGACCTGCCAGTATATCAAGGTAACACTGCAGGGTGCTCTCTCCAAGCTGTTTGTTTACTCTCGAGGAACACCAGGCACCACTTCCATGCCAGCAGAACATGCCCCATATCATAATACTCCCACTAGACCCTTACACAGGTACAGGTAGAAGCTAGGCCAGCACCTCCGTAGTACCACAGGTAATTGAGGTATTGCTGAACCTAGCAAACTGTTAAACTTTCCACCCCAATTTTGAAGGAGAACACCCCGGGGTGGTCCGAGGTTCTTCCGCCCCTCTTTTTTTACCATCAACCACTTGAGAGGACTTTCTGAGATAAATGAGTTCTGGTATTAATAGTGTACACAAATCATATTGAGAAAAGACTGTCCTTGAAAAGTTCAACAACTGATGCTTCCAAAAGCAGAAATGTAAGAATAAATGTCTTTTCTAAGGCGGAAGGTGTAATAAGCAAGTCTTTGGAGCTCCCGTCCTTCAGCATTGCGTAGATAAATGAAACTGTTGGAACATTAAAATGAAATTAAAAAAAAAATAAAAATAATAAAAAAATAAAATAAAAAATGAAAAATAAAAATATATAAATAAAATAAAATAAAAAAGACAAATATGGTATAGTAACATATGGAGATGAATAAGCATTAGATATGACAAATATCCAGTCCGAGTCTTTGGATATGTATAAGAACGTCTCTGATTTTGGCCCTAAGGTGTCTGTTCTTTATTGCATATTTCTTAAATGGTGTATTAGATTGTTGTTAGGCTTGATCAGATGTTTGCCGTCTGTTATATTACAGTCAAAAATGTAATGATCAGGGTCACCCCTTTCGCCACATATGCAGAGATCCGTGGGGCACATGCCTCTGTCATGGAAGTACGTGGGAAAAGGACCGTGCCCTGTGATATACTGATTCAGAACATGGTCATAGTGTAGGGCCTCTTTGTCAGTTTTTGAGAAAAAATTGTGGACTCTTCTGCCTTGCAATGCAGAATCCCACTCTTCTTGCCACTTTGAGTGGACAATTGCATTCAGTGTAAATTTTAAATGGGACTTGGGCCACGGGACATGAATTACCTCACTGTTGATGTTTGTCGTTGCATCCTTTGCAAGGAGGTCAGCTGCCTCGTTTCCATCATTTCCGTTGTGGGCTTTCACCCAATTGAGGATAAACTGGATTTCTGGGTGGGCACTTATAGTATTTTGAATATCCTGAACCAGTTGGTTCTTATTGTTTCTGTCCTTCAGGGCATATAATGCAGATTGACTGTCTGAATGGATAGCTATTGTCCTGAAATTATTTGATATAGCTTTATTTACTGTAGATTGAATTGCTGACAGCTCAGCTTGATAAACGGAATTTTCTGGAGATAATTTCCCTTGCCATATTGTTGGAATAGAGGAAGAAGAATAGATTATTGATGCTGCGCCCACTTCTCCATGAATTTTAGAGCCGTCTGTAAATGCTCTTGGACATTCTTTACTGCTGAATGCTGAAGCGTCCGTATTGATAATTAAATTACAATACTTTGCAGGATGGTAGGTCAATGGTATGGCTGGAGACTCATACTTTGAGGCAGAAAAGGTGGTGCCGTTCAGATAAGCATCTTCTTTCAACTGGAGTACTCTGGCTTTTATTGAATCCTTCGTCGCAATTAAATGAAGGGGAGGAATCCCAGTAAGAACGCATAGAGAGGAATTAGCTGTCGTTCTTTAAGCTTTGCAAATGCTCAGGAGAAAAGGTCTCTGAATGGCGAAAAGTTTCCTTTTCTTCCTCTCTGTCATAGTCTCCGCCCAGATTGCAGCCCCATAATTCACTATACTTGAAACTACTGTTGTAAAAATAAAAATTTTTTGAATATGAGGACGAAGTCCCCAGTTACTACCTTGCATTTTTCTGAAACTATAAGCGATTTGATTTGTCTTTTTCTGAGTCTCCGTGAGATGGTACATAAAATTAAGTTGGTTATCTATGTGGATACCCAGAAACTTCAGGACTTGAGTAATCTTAATTTTCTTTCCGTCCAGGGTGAAGGTGGGCTTTCTTAAGACCCTTACACAGTGCGAGTAATGCAAGATGGATTTATGGCTATATGGGGGTTCTTGCCAAATTCGACGTCTTCCCATCAGTGCAAAATAAGGTGTAGCGTGATTCATTCGACCGCATTACCTGTTTCCAATCCTCAAATAGCCAGTGTCTTTATTCCCGACACCACTGCAAACGAATTCTTGCATGTCGGGCAGAAATAAGCGTTTTTTTTTCACAGGCATCCGACTATGCATTCCTATCCTCTGCAATTTTCTGCTCATGGTTCTAGCTGAAATCTGTTGGGAAGAGCCTTGGTTGACGATCTGTGTCAGTTGAAGCACAGTAGAGTCCCTGTTCTTCCATACAATTCGTAGAAGACGCCACCAATCACTCTGTTGGAAAACTATGCTGGAACTGCAGTTACGTCTTTTAGAGAAGAGCTGTGTGTTATGATTCCAAATTTTGAAAAACTTTGATATGACTTTTGACTTTTGAGAACCCAGATTTTCTGTCTTCGAAATCGAGGTCCCTGCTAAATGGGTACCAACAACAAGCCCTTTTTCAAATGGTGAAAGATCTGCCGTTTTTGCCATTTTACTTCATTCATCGTGAAAAGCATTCTTACACCTTAGCTATACTAACTAGCATTCTAACCACGTATAACCCACGTCATAAAAAAATTGCATACTTCATTCCTAGGTCGCCTTCAAATGAAAATCTCAAAGGTTTCTAATTCATTAGCCAGTGTGTGTATATAAAATGCAAAAATTTGTGTAAAAATAAAATAGAAAGAATACAGCGTAAGAAAACGTAAACGTAGATTTAAGATATTTTTTCCCTCATGCTTTCTGTCTACCAGCGGGTAAGTGGTAAAGTCGCTAAACACTGGCAGTTCGGTTCAGGGTTCGAATTCGGCGAACGGGCTGGCTGCATGGGCGTTTTCGTGGATTCCCCCCCCATGTGTAATGTCGATACGAGCCAGTTTACTTTAGAAAATTCTCCACGAAGGCATTCTTCTTCTTAGACAAGTAGCCCTCCTGTGCTTTGCCGTAATTAAATTAACCAAACAAAACCGACCTCATGCTTTCTATTAAAAATGGAATTAGAAACATATGTACACGTTAAATGGAAAAAGAAGGAAATCTACCTAAGGTAAGATGTGATTGCTTTAAATCTTGACCTAAAGCCTACTGAACTTATGCTTAGCAGGGTAGCTGTTGCCAAGAATAACATGAAGACACCAGTCAACCATCCACTCCTCTTCCAGCTCCAAACCGACATTTTTTAGTATGATCCCAGTCGAGCACATTTCTGGATAATAAAAAAATATTAAATAAATAAAAATAAAAGTTTGACAATTTAAAACGAGTTTGGGTATAAAATGTCTTAGGACGATGTATAATCATTTCACTAAAGGCAAATGGAGGCTTATAATAGAAATACAATGAAAATTATTTTACCCTGGCCAACAGTATATTGGATCAAAATAATGGATGCTTCTGAAGAAAATGGTAGTGTATAACCTCTTTGCAGAATTTCACCTTGAATTACCGACGATATATTCCTAAATGTTTGGAGATTTTTTAATACAGACACTGTAAAACAGTACACGTATGTTTGAACGTAAGGATTTCTGAATTTAAAAAAAAAACACATTCAAAATTTATTTTTCAGAGCCTTTTTTGTTATTTCCTCCGATTTTTAAAAATATCCTATCATCTATTCCCCTGCTGAAAACATTTTTGATAGTTTTTATCTCAAATAATGTCAGATGCTGTATGAGGTTTTTATTGACCTTATATTTTTTTTATTGAACTATTATGTCTTCTTAACTTTACCCTTTATCATGAGCGCAGTAAAAGACATACGGAGTACTGTTGTTCTAGTGGGGTGAGGGCGCAAAATGACTACATTTTTGTCTGATTTCTTTTAGTAAAACTCACCAACTAGAAAACTTAGTCGAGCACCATAGGCAGAAGTTTGTATATTTCTTTTTTCAAAAGTTAACCAGAATTTAAATAGCGACTCTTCGCAACTCACAGAGTACCTGACAGGGCATGGCCTATATATCCTATCTTCACAGATTTGGCCTAAGCGACAAAAGAGGCGACCAATGTATTTGTGGCAGTACGGGTGACCCAGACCACTATCTGTATGATTGCCCGCAAGCAGCGAATTCGCATTAAAAATGACCCGCTGTAATCAATATGCCGGCGTGGATCAGGTATATAAGTAAGAATAAATATGCACTCAGCCGTATTAGAGATTGTATTAATATTGCTAAAAATATTTCTGACAGCCTTAAGTCATTTCTCTATTACTTTCCTCCAACACCGGGCCGTCAGCAGCTCAAGCTTTATATATATTAATCTGCTTAATATCTTGTTTTTTATAAATAATAATTGTCTGCTTTAATAATGTTTACTATTATGATTAATCCAGCTTGTATTGTTCTGCATATTTACTCGCAGTTAAATTTTATTAACTATGTCTAATTATTCAATTTTGTACCTTATTTGATTCTATTTATAATAGCATTTTGAACTGAGCACAATATGTACGTAAATTTTAAATTACGGTTTGTATATATTTAAGGTAGAGAAGCACTCTACCTTAAATATATACAAACCGGTATTATGTGTAATACTGTATGTTCCGTAAATCAGTCTGCATACATTATTTTATAGTATTTTTTTTCATTCATTTAGTACCTAACAAAATATTATCTACGGTAATGCAAGTCTAATGTCTAAGTATTAGTTAATTAATCTAATGTCTAATGTTAAGTATTAGTGTCTAATGTCTAAGTATTAGTTCATATTTCATCTTTACCATCTGTACCTGTATCTATACTTATCCTCATATATATTATAGGTAGGTTTTTTTATATGATCGAAAGCAAGATTTTCACCTCTGTGAGGAAGGGAGTTATCCTAGGGATATTCTCTCCCATTTCTGTAGAATAGCGGGTTCTAACTACTGAACTCTTTGTGAAGCTGGTATGCGACCAGGAGCCTTTCTTCCTAAAATGTCTCAAATATGTTTTTGATAGCGTTCATGTGTGAGGAACATGCTTATCAATTCATTTGAAAGATTCTTTTGGCGAAAAGAAAGTCTTGCACTAACTGACAATGGTGTAATTTGGCGTTCTTAGCCTAGAAAATGAATTTATTCTCGATTTCTGCAGTGTAAAGAACGTCAAAAGGCCCAAGGATGTTTGACTATTTGACAGGAAAAAAATATCACATCTTGAAAGAACACTGAAGATGATATGACAGTATCATCTTCAGTGTTTAACAAGAGTAATTTCTGAAGGAAAAAAAACTCCAGTTTTAATGTTTCTACATCAACTTATTTGCCAAATACACAAGATAACTGACCTTCTGAATAGATATTATCCCTACACAAATTGTATATCGTATCATCATTATACGAAGCAATGCATTTGACAACACACAGCTTGGTTTTTGAGTCTTCTAATTTTTGTTCTGATCAGGAAAACATTAACAGTAACGTACGAAATAAATGAAAATGCTCTACGGTAATGATAAAAAGAAATTAATTAGTCAATAATTTTGAAGTCGTTTCACTGAAATAAAAATTTCCAAGAAAACGACATTGCGGGTACGGCAAAGCAAGCCCTTCATGGCCGGCGGCCAGCAGTATGTGTCCTCCTCAATATACCGCAGAAAAGAACAAACCTTTTGGAAAGCCAGGCACACCATTCCGGAATATAGCAATTTTCGGGCTATGTACTCTTCAATGATGAGTCGGGATTTGTAATACAGAATGATCTTGTACGGGTCTTTATTTGGAGAGAACCCGGAGTCCGCTGTCGCCTTAGAACATAAAGAAAATTGGCTGCTTTGGTGGAAGAGGATTCTTTCCGTGGGGAGGCATCATTTTGTATGGACGTATACTGCTGTACGCCTTCAATGTGATGCTTTTAATGTGCTGTATGCTTTCAATATTCGCTGTGATTGCACAGCGTTACTGAAATGAGGTTCTTGAACCGTATTTGGGGCTCCTGGGAGCTGCCGTAAAAGTCTCTGACGGAAAAATTATTGATGATAACGTGAGGCTACACACAGCAGAATTCATGGACGAATTTTTGAAGCAAGAGGTACCATCGAAATGCAGTCACCGGTCTACAAAAACAAAAACAAAAAAAAAAAAAAAAAAAAAAAAAAAAAAAAAAACTTTGGTGTAGCCAGCGAAGTCATCGGACTTAATTCCAATATCGTGTGTTTGGAATCCTCTAGGATTTAACATCCTTTTAGAAGTCTCCAGCATTAAAATCTTTGCTTTTTGAACAATAGGATATTTTGCTACAAGCTAAGGCTATTTACTTCATTTATACTATTAGGGCTCATTGTGAGGCATTTAAAGTTGCGCCAAATCGCTACATTGTTTATTAGCCGGACCATTTTTGTAAATATAAGGTACCAAGTTCTAGACGTTTCTGGATTCATTTGCATATCGCAAAACATGGGCCTCTAATTATTTTGTTACGTATCTGTTGGTTATCCCATAGCACTGGCCATCTGGACAAAAAAATTTCAATATATTAAATCAAATATTTAATAGATGCTACACTTTTTATTTTGTAACCTTAACCTTAATTTATGACAATCGTCTTTTATTTTTAGACAAAAGAATAATTTTTGTCTAATAAACGAAAAATCGCTCACCACACATAGAACAAATAGTTGGAATAAATAAAGAACATAATCATATAACTGAATGCAGACAACTGCTGCAAATTAGGAAGGCAAAAATAATTTCTTAAGTGATGATAAAGTCATTCATGTAGTTTTCTGAACTTATTAAATAAATCATAAATCATCCAATCACAATTAAAGTAATATTAAAGAAAGAAGAAGAAGGAGATAATATTAGCCGCTCTGAAGCGAGAGTGCATTGAACTTGGGGTAGTTGATATGATTTCCATGAAGAAATAGCATAATTTCACTTTTAAAAAAGCAATGGAAGGGGTGGAGAAACAAAAGATAACCTACTAATTTCTTCGAGAACACAGTATTCTCTTTTGGAATATGTAATTTTAAAGCTGAAGTCTGCAGCTGTTTAGTTTAAAAATATAATGATATAGTATATATGTGCGAATTAGTGTCTGTGTGACGTTTCTTTATTCCATAATATGACTTGTTAAGTGATTTCTCTATAATTCGATTTAACCAGACATTGCGCTTTCCTGTCAAGAGTCCGATGCCCTAACTGCTGTATATGATTCTGTCTGAGAGCAAAGACCTGAGTGCACCTGTTGTATATGATTCTGTCTGAGAGCAAATCATATTTCATGTCGACATCTGACAGTAACTAAGAATCTCCTCTTGAGCGATATATGCCGCAGTCTGAAGCATTTCTTTCCATAAGATTATCTTTATGTTAACTTCTTCAGCACATGCTGACATCCGCGGAAACCAGCTGGATGCTAAACAGGCAACACATTCTCTGATACACAAGCTAGCACACTGGGCCTTCAGAATCCGCTATAATACATCAAAAGGTTTATGGCTAGCGTTGCCATGCATCAGGGCAACAACAGCGGAATTCTTTTGAAACAGAAATATTGACTCACGGCTTCTATGGCGAACGATTGACCTCACATGATTCCGTTTCTCACTAACGTGGTCAATACCTGCATTCTCGCGAGATTTTGTCTGCGAGAAAATGATCAATATATTTGTAGGTACGTGGGTCGCATTGATTATGATGTCTTCCAATGTATTCCTTCTCTGAAGTTTGGCCTCAGCAAAAGTTTGGCCTTGGGTGACCTGGTATTAAAGAATAAACTCATCAACAATACACGCAGTATAATGAGTTTTTGCCAGATAATATTGATTATCTTATTGTTACAAGCTGTTTTTCCAAAAACCAAAACTATTTATACTTTTCAATAATTCTGAGTCAGCACCACTTTGTAGCAAAACACCTCTCTGTTTAGAACGTTATCTCTTTCATCGATCCTTCACCTACGATATATTTTGATGCTTTATTAGTAAAATTTATAGAATTAATTTATGGGAACAAATTATAAAAAAATAAGGATTAGTGGAATAAAAAAAACCAGTGATCTAATATAATAGTGCAAAGGGACATAGAACAAAACATTTCTCTTAATTCGTAATTATTCATTGATGTAGGTTGATCCGTCATACCCACTTTGAGATTGGCAAATGCCAAAATTTACCTCTAGGATGTAGGACATTTAAATGAACGCTTGGAAACGGATATCTGTTCGTTAATAGAGCTCATTTTTTTCAAAGTGTCGGCAGTTGTAGACTGTGAAGCTGCAACTGCGTGACATCGGATGCGGCAATCTGCGCTTTTATCGTTCTTCTCTTTGTCCCAACTCCCGAATTTCTATCAGCGTTGAATGAATGGTTAAAATAAAGGAATCTTAAGATTTTCGTTTAACAGTTTGTTCAAGAATTACACCTTCCAGTTGTTGTATTGCTTGGAGTTTCTTGCTGATCGACTGGTTGGAAGATACCTAGAATATTGGTACGACTTTTGTATTTAGTTTGCTATTTTTAGTAGAATTGGTATTAAATTGTTTTATATTCTCGTGCGATGCAGCATGAGACTTATTTGAAGAGAAAGCTACGCCGGAAAAGTTAAAATACAGGAGCACGCGCATTTAATATTTAATTAAATAGATATCTTGTAACTTTAGTCTTTTCCTTTCCAGAAACCTCGAGAAAAAACTAAAATTACCAGAATGTTCTCGTGCATGATTAAAAAGCTTTAAAAAGCTGGACAGAAACATCTTAGTTGTTTACTTAGTTCTTGATGTTGATTGTAGCGAATTCGTGGTGAGATCTGATTAGCTTTCTCTGCTTTGAATTGGGTCCTATTTAACGTTTTAGTAGTTTAAAATATAACTGCTGCGAGATGTTGTGATATTGTACTATTATCTCTGAGGAAATTTCAGCATTTTGTTTTATTTCTTGGGATAAAAATAAATTTTATTAACTTTTTGTTGACTTGTGCATTCAATCCATTACGAACCCGTACGCACGCAACAATATAATACCATATACATTTTATTAGAAAAGGTTTTTGAAGACGTTTGATAATAAACCTTCAATACCTTGAAAACATTTTTAAGTCTTGTTTCTGAACCAGAAAACAGAACAAACAGCATATTAGTACAACTGCAATAAAGTTAGTTTGATAAACCGTTTTTTTTTTTTTTATTTCTTTTATCTCTTTCCTTTATCATATGATTGATTCGAAACTTAAATAATTTAGAGACTTACCTTAAATAATTAAAGACTTAAATAATTAGACTTAAATAATTAGAGACCTGTTTAAAATAGCCTTCAAGTTTTCAAAATGTGGCCTTTTCTCTGTCAAACAATGCCATTTCGCCAACAGAAAACTATTCCTTTTCTTTGGTATTTAGATGCAAGTGAGGAAATACATTTTTTTTCAGGGAGAGGGAATGGTAGCCTTCCGATTCTTACTACTCAAGTTTAGAAATAAAATACATTATTTATTGAGCTTTACAATCATGTAAGCTACAGAAGGTAAAATTACAAGATTACATTCATCGTTACCTAAGGTTAATAGCTTAAATTAAAATTAAAAAGCTGTCTTTCTTCCAGACAGTTACATCAAAGCCAAGCTCTCAAAGGTTGACCAGAGTCGAAACCTTAAAGTTAACAAAATGTGACTGCTAATTAAGTACTCCTGCTTTTAATTACTAACTGAAAAGTGAAAATATCAAATTAAATTTCCACCCAGTCGGTATAATGGTTAATGACGCTGACTGCCGTACCAATGGACGCGGGTTCAAATCACGGAGACGGCATGGATGTTTGTAATTGTATAGTGTCTGTGCGGAAAGGGGTATTCAAAATATATCACGAGCCGAACAGTTAGGATCAAACTCTTCTCTACCATCAACCTCTTCTATCGAGAGGTTCCTGGCAGAGGGAGAGAGATGGGAGACCGTCAGACATCCCCACGGGATATTTATTCTCCCTCAAATTGAGGTGGAAGCTTAACGGTCAATGTTACCTAATTTATGCCTAGGAGAATGCGCAAGTGCCAGCCTTGCACCACGGTACATGTATTTAACCTGTATTTGTCAAATAAGAAATAATAATAAATCAAGAAAAAGTATCTATCTTTGGCGTGAAGAAATGCAGTGACAACTAACTACTTTTTACAAACTGATATTGCAGATTCTAACTTTACATGCACAGCTTTTAAATTTGTGTTTTCTAAACAATTTGAGATCAAACAGGAGAAATAATAAAACAGGAGTAATATAAACAAAATTTGCTAGAAACTAAACAAATTTATTACCTCATACATGAAATATATGCTCATATATGAAAAGCTCATAAAGCTCACATGTGAAAGCATAACAGAAACAAACCTTTCCCCTTTATGTTTTCAAAACTGCACGATCTTCTTATATCTATGCAAAATTCGGTCAACACAGTAATTGTTTAAAATATGTAAAATCCAAGTCAATCAATGCATTTTTTAGAATAAAACATATTGAGGTAAGGGATGAAAAGTAGAAAAATATTGCTTCAGTTATGTTATAGATATAGAAAAATAATTAGTATAGCATTTTAAAAAGATATAACCGAATGTAACTTTTAGCCGAATTAATACAGTCTATTAATATTTACGTCAAGGAACCCAAAACACCATCGCAGGCCTTTACAAAATGCTAAACATTTTCTTTTTTCAGAAAAATAAAAAGAATTCAATGATAAAGTTATGATATATTTAAGTATTTGTGAAAGGAGGGGAAGGAAAAACTAAACCATATGTTTATCTTAATTTTAAATATGCCAGCGAAATACGAGCATACACAGGATTAATGCTTATAATTCCACAACTAAAGGCTATTGTTGTTTAAAACGGCCAGACACTTGCAACTTATTGCATACGTCGGGAATAGCTAAACCTAATGGCCATTTATCAGTTCTCGCCACCAAAAATGTTGCCCAGTGAAAACCACTGGAGACAACTGAATTATACTCACCAGAAAGGAGGAAGCTTGGTCCCATTTTTATGAAGAGCCCTTGAGGGACGGATATGAGAGTTTGCTAATACTCTTATCTTATCTCCAACCTCTCTAGAGGACATTCGGTTTCATAGTATTTTAAGTACCCCCATGCCATAAAGGCATTTTATATTTACAATCATTCATGACTTCGGTATTTAAACGCAGGCTCCTACTTCCTTGCCAATGGCACGCGGTTTCCTTACAACCTTGCCAGTATAGCGGCATTAAAAGCTTAGTTAAATACAACAAAAACGAAACAGAAAATATTTATTTTTGTATTAGAACGATCTTAAGATTTTTTTAAGTTCCTAATAGATAATTATATTTTTTCAGTAAGATTCCTGTACCTTATCATGCCATATAATTTCTACAAGGTAATGATTGAAAATAAAGAGCTTCTAGCTCTAAATTTTGCATTTTTAGATATTGTTTAAAAATAGTTGCAAATCCTAATGTAGATAATCCTAGGAAACTTCACATCACACATAAATGCAGCACAAGTCATTACTTGTGCTGCATTTAAATTAGATCACAAAACACCACATCTTAAGGAATGGGATAAAGCACATGCGTACCCCTTATTTTAGAGCTATATTTTTCTCGTTATAACAATGAGCGTAAATTTCAGTTTTGTACTGAGTTCTTGATTATGATAAAAAATTTATTAAACCATTGGGCATCTAATTTTCTTTTGAAGATATGCAGATATAATATGTACATTATCAATTACAATAAGCTGCAATTACAATAATTAACCTTGTTGTTGGTTGTAAGATTACCATTATCGATTTCTTCCTTGCTTTAGATACGTATTCAGAACTAATCTTAACAAAGCAAACAGAAATAGGAATCTCATAGCATAGTCAAACATGCATTCAGCAGTGTCTGAAATGACAACGCGAAAACTGAAGCCTAAGCGATACGGTAATGTAACGCTAATATAAAGTAGTTAATCGTGTTTATAACCAAATGTCCCTCAATTAAAATTTTCACTTTATTCCGAGTCATCACAAAAACAATAAAGTCTGAAAACAAAAAATAAATTACTTATAATAATAATTAAAAATTTTCACTTTATTCCGAGTCATCACAGAAAGAATAAAGTCTGCAAACAAAAATAAATTACTTATAATAATAATTAAAAATTTTCACTTTTTTCCGAGTCATCACAGAAACGATAAAGTCTGCGAACAGAAAATAAATTACTTATAATAATAATTAGCATAACAAAGCATGGAAACTTACAAATATGGGAAGGCATTGCCTTATGCACCACTTCGGATTGCTGAAAAAGGGTGTCCTTTATCTGCCAATCACATAATCAAGTAGACTATAGAACGAAAGCACTATCTTTTCCGTTATTGTTTTAGAAACGTTATCTCGGCCATTCAGATATCAGTGTGTGCATCAACAAGAATTCATCAAAATTTAGTACATGTAGCTATTTCTTTAGCATCTCATTTAAATAAGTTTTATAATGTTTGACTTTTAACGGTTGCAACTTACAGCATCGATCGTTACTGTAATTGCAATCCTTATTGTAGGTATGTTACTGTAGATCGTTACTGCAGGTTTTAGATGCTAAGACCATTAATTTAATAAATGTTATTTATTCATTTAGTTCTCTGTAGAGGCTAACTTCGGTTGCACATAAATGACTACTATTTTATGCCAAATTTAATTATTAATTTATTGTTTATCTCCATCTGATTCAGGAATTCGCCTGTATAATAATAGTTTCCATCAATGTAAAATCATGTAAAGCCATTCATTACCTAAATCATTTGCAATGAATGAATTCCTCTCGAGCAATGCTAAAGATAAGAAATGTTAAATATATTTATTAAAATAGGATTAGCTTTATTTTGCTTTTTTTTTTTTTTTTTTTTTTTTTTTTTTTTTTTTAAAGGAGACAAAATGGGAATGTAACAAAATATTCGCAGTCCGCCCTTAAGGAGAACGCACGACCGGATTGTCATCGATTTTGCCCAAATTCTGCATGTAACAGAGAATCTTAAAGTAAATGTAATGTGTGTCATGTATTTACTTTAAGATATTACTTACAAGAGTAGTGCACTTCTCATAAAAAAAAACAAGAAAAGTCGAAGATAAAGTTTTAAACTGCATTCATATTATTTAATTTCCCTCCCAGAGATCTGATATCGCGCAGAGCTATTAATTCTACATTCAGAAAAGAATACTGTTGGTGTTTCTTAGGACTTTTAACATTATTTTTTTTAAAAAAAGAATTTATAAATGAAAATTATTTTTAGAAATATATTTAAAAATTAAAAACCATCTACCATTTCGGTACTATTCCGTTTTAAGGACCATAAAAAAATTGCAGCGTAAATGTATGCGCAAAAGCGCCAGATCTAGCAAACGCGTCCATTTAACAGCGCGTCAAATCTAGCGTATGCGCTGATTTCAGATTGCGTAAGTTTATATAGTTCTATATTTCTTAAGACGCCATTGAAATACTAGTTTAATTTTTAAATCCTTTTTTGATATCCTATGGATTTAACAATTTGGGAATTGCCCATGACGAAAAGTCTGGATTGGAATTTTGGGTAAAGTGGCAGAATCACCCACTGCTTGACGCGTTTTTAAGAATAGCGCATACTCGGTATCCATGTACACATTGACCTATTTTCACTTAAAAAAAAATTCCAGAATTGCACAAAAAGTGGCACTGCGCCCACCCTTGACTTTATCTATGTACACATCGACCTATTTTCACTTAAAAAGTAAAAGAAAATTGACAAAAAACCAAATGTTTTTACCCTTGTAAAAAGCGGCAAAGAAATAAGTGGGATTCTGCACTTTACCGAGAATGTTTTCAAAGAAAAAGCATCATTTATTGTAGAAAATTATGTTTGAACAACCAACGAGATGAAATTATGCTTTAGTGATAACTCGGCGAAATAGCGATGCAGGCATCCATTCAGTTATGTTTAGAAATTTTTATATAAATTATAATAATAAGAAAGTATTATATGAAATTAACCTTTCATCTAAATTAAAACATCAATCTTTAGATAGGCGCCAACCAGCGGCCGAGCGGTAAAGACGCTGAACACTGGTAGTTCGGTCTGAGGTTCGAATCCCGCGAACGGGCTGGTTGCATGGGCGTTTTCGTGGTTTCCCATGTGTAACGTGTATACGAGCCAGTTTCACTTAGAAAGTCCTCCACGAAGGCATATCCCTCCTTTTAGGCAGATAGCCCTCGTAAGCTTTGCCATAATTGAATAATCCAATCCAATCTTTAGATAGTTATTTACTATTGTACTTCCTTTCTTGCATTAGGGTTGCCGCAATTATTTTTGGCAGCACTGGCATAGTTTGGCGATTTTTTACGGCCCTCAAAACCGAATAGTACCAAAATTTCATATTAAAAGCAAATACTTTTCAATAAATTTATTTACACCTGCTTCATCATAAAAATATTAAAATACACCGTAATCCTATCAAGTTACATGGTTTCATAAAGTTGAAATTTTTATTCACATTGTATACTTATTGTATTACCATAAAAAAACGTACTGAAGGGAAATATCAGCTAAGACGATATACGGGGTGATATTTCTAAAAGTTATTGGAAATACGCTTTATTCTTGAAAGTTTTAAGATCATTTCGAAGAAAATTTAAACTGTGATAAACGGTTATTCCTGCAGCTTACTCCATGCCGATATTTTATGTTTTAGAGTTATGGAAGAATACAGTAAATTAGCATAAAATAAACGTAAAATTGTATTTTTTTTTTTTTTTTTTTTTTTTTTTTTTTTTTTTTTGTTCTTTTAAACATTAACTCTATTAAATAGTTCTATGAATAAATTTTCTTTTGAAATAAAATAACATTAGAAGAACTAATAGATTATAAAAGCCCATATGACGAATACAAATTTAAATCATGATAAATCATCATTTATCGAATGTACACTAAATCAGGGGTTCCCAAAGTGTGCGCTGCGGCACTTTGGGTCGCAACGAGGCGCCTCTAACCTTCCATCACGCAGAAAAAAGACGCGTTGAACGCTCGGCCATATTTTTCATTAATATTTTTCATTCATTTTTCATTAGTTATACGTTTATTAATACGTTTCATTAATTTTTGTCCTAATTACTTAAAATAATAGTTCCTGAAATATAAGCATTGAGAAAAAATAAGTTTTTCTCAATACTTATATTTCAGTTGTCATCTACTGCCATTTATGTTTTTAACATTTTTATTTCTCCTTTTAATCTGAAGTAATTCTTGTTCACAATTTCATTTCTTAATGAGCCATTTTATTCTATCACTTAGTTCTTTCAATTTGAAAATAATTCTGTGTTATTCCGTTAGAATTTTGTTCAATTATTTTTGTACAATTTTCGCACTTGTTACTTCCTTTTACAAGATTGCTGTATTAGTCTTCTCAGCAATGGAATCTGTTGACATTTCTTTTTCCCGCTCGCGACCGTTAGTATCGAACTCATACATGCGTGAAGTCGTACAGTCTTACACGTCTATCAAAAAAGTTATAATCTTGACGAAATATTGCAAATAATCTTACTAATATTTCGCAAAATGAAAGCAATAAAAGCAACGCGGTGTGTTCAGCAAACATACCGCTTTGTTTTTGTAAATCCTGCAACTTCTTACACCCCCCCCCCCCAAAAAAAAAAAAAAAGCTCAATTTCAATCTTTATTTGATAGAGAAAATGATATGAAATGAATTCCCTCTGCAATTAGTTGAGGCTACTGACAGTAACAATGATGCAAATTTTAGGCGTTATGTTCTTGGATGGTAATATTATTGTTGAAGATCTTCAGTTTTGTTAGAGTATTATCGGAAGCGCAAAGGCTCGACTTGTTCGAAATGCTTGATAAGTTTATAACGGAAAATATTTAGTTTGGAAATAGTGAATCGGTATATGTACTGGTGCTCGATCAGTTTTCGGTCGCTATAAAGGACTGCAGACATTATTTTGCAGAAAACCTCCGCGTACTGTGTGGACTACAGGGAAGCACTTCCGTCGAAATCGCTCAGTCCTCAGTTGAATTTGGCGTTGGAATGTGTCATAGACGTCGTAAACTACATAAAAACTAGACTTCTGAAAGCAAGAATTTGAAAAGAACTATACTGAAACATAGACGTTCAACATACAAACTTAATGCAGTTCACGATGGCTTTCGCGTGGCAGCGTCCTGTCTAATGCGTTTGAACTGCATCAAGAAATTCAAATTTTTTTACAAGAGGTAAGTCATGCGATCGATAAGTATTTTTTCCGAAACAGACATTTTGCTGAAACTAACATATTAGTGTGACATACTTGAGAAACTAAATGTCTTGAATATGTCTCTACAGAACAATGTATGCACATATTGAAACTTGTAGAAAACATTTCAGAGTTTAGGAAAACGCTGCAGCTGTGGATAAGAAAATTGAATGACTGTAGTCCTTAAGACTGTTTTTCTACATTTTACCAATACAGAGCTTCTAATAAAGTCATTGTTCTACAGGAATTTCTGTCCCTTTTCATGGAACACCTCAGAAACCTCACTAACTGGTTCGCAAAATACTATGCGGAAGATAATGTAGAGAAATTTATATTGATCTAATATTCTTTTCATTTTTAAGTACACCAGTACTTTACTTCTCGAAAAGAAGAGCGTTTAATTGAACTCTTTCGAGATAACATTCTGTAAACAAAATCTGCTCGCTCAGATTTAATGGAGCTTTGGATTTCAATCAAAAGTGAATAGCCAACTTTAAGTTCTACAGCTCTAAGGATCCTCATTCCCTTTTCCGACATCCTATAATAGAGGAAAATGACACTTCTGGGCCGGGAGCGGGAGCTGAGGAGTTGAAAGGGAGCTCTCGAGAAGGAATGGTCAGCCGTGGAAGGGAGGCTTATCTGAAAATGAGGACAGGGAGCCTTATTGGGAGGTGGATGGGAGTAGAGTAGTCGCTACGTCACAGAAAAAAGACGTGTGCTTAGATTATTTTCTTTTTTTAATTTGGTGATTTAGACATTTAGTAGTTATATGATAATGAGTAAACTTTCTTATTTATACTGAATTCTTAAAGACATATATTAAGTAGGTGTTTTAAGTGACTGATACAGTTATTTTCCTTAAACAGATAATAGTATATAATAAAATGTTTCCTTAACAGTATAACGTCTTTGGAAAATAATTATTTACTTACCTGCATTTACCCGAAGGTTGAATATCTACAATACTATTACATATAATGGGTTTCATACAAACAATACATTTTAAACCAAATTATAAGTTTACTAAAATACAAATCATATTGAGTACTATGTTTTAATTTGATGATTTAGACATTTATATCTATGTGATCATTTACTTACTTA